AGAGAAAGAAGGAAGAGAGAGGAGAGAGAGAGAGAGAGAGAGAGAGAGTTTGTATGTACACATGCATGTGTGCACACATGACCATATGCATGGTGCATATGTGGTGACCAGGGGTCAACTAGAAGGAGTTGGTTCTTTCTTCCTCTGCTTTTACTGTGAACTCCAGGAATTGAACTCTGGTCATCAGGCTTGCACAGCAAGTGCCTTCACCTACTGGAACTCAATTTGTAGCTCAGGTTAGCCTCAAACTTGTGGAGTCCTCCCGTCTCAGCCTCCCAGAAGAATGCTGAGATTACAGGCACAAGCCACCATGCCCCATCCCTAGCCTTAGTCCTTGACTCTGAGCTTTTTCTTGGGCCTCAGTAGCTTCCTGTCATTGGTCGTTAGAGTCACCACCAACTTTGTTTGTGGCAGGGGCTGTTGGAGAGGAGCAGCCCCCTTCAGTCTCCACCTTCCAGTTTCCTGAAAGCCAAAGAGGAGGGAATGGGGGAGGGGTGCTGGAAGTGTGCAGAGGAGAGCACTCCCGGTTCCCCCAGCACCACAGGTTCTCCTAACATCCCCAGAACAGGCATGACAGGTTCCCTACCTGCCCCTCTCAACCTGTGTCACTCATGGCTTGACCCCTGTTTCTTCCCACTCTGCAGTGAGTTGGACTATTACGACTCACCCAGTGTCAACGCTCGTTGCCAAAAGATCTGTGACCAGTGGGACAACCTTGGGGCCCTCACTCAGAAGCGGAGGGAAGCGTTGGAGGTAAGGACCCTCTGGTGCCATGTGCCTCTTTTTCCTCCTTGGTTCTCTGCTTTTTAAGTTTCCATGATTCCCTGGACCATCCCCATCACTGACCTAATGGGAAGACTCACTTTGACTGGGAATGTGTGAACTTGGCCTTGATGGAGATCCTCCTCCTGGGCCCGTGAACTTGTTAGCCCAGCTCCAGCCTTTTGAGAGTTGTCCTAGTCTGTAAACCACACCCTCTTGGGACCAGGGCAAATGATCCCAATAGGTCAATCTGTCAGTTGACAGCCAAGACCCAAAGCCACTCAAGAACTGGTTCTTTCTGCCTCATCTAGTCCAGTGCTTCTAGACCAACATGCCTGGGGTGGTCGACCTTTGAGTTTCACACTGCTAAACATTCTGTCCCACTTGGTACTCCCAGAGAACAGAGAAGCTTCTGGAGACTATCGACCAGCTGTACTTGGAGTATGCCAAGCGGGCTGCACCCTTCAACAACTGGATGGAGGGAGCCATGGAGGACCTTCAAGACACCTTCATTGTACACACCATTGAGGAGATCCAGGTGGGCATCTCAGAGAGACTGATCCTCTTTAGGATAAGCTAAGGACCAATATCCCAAGGATTCCACAGATTAAAAGTGTTAGCATATAACACTTGTTCTGTTTTTTTTTAGGATTCTTTTATTTTTATGTTGTAAACAGCATGTGGGTGTTTTGTCTGCATGTATTTATGTATGTGCACCACTTGGATACAGGGCCCAGATTCCCCTGGAACTTGGAGTTACAGATGGTTGTTGGCAGCCCTATGCTGGGAACTGAACGGCAGTCCTCTGTAAGAGCAGCAAGTGCTCTTAATTGTTCAGTCATCTCTCCAGCCTCCTATCCCCGTTTAAAGACAGGGTCTCACTGTGTACTCTTGGCTAGTCTAAAACTTGCTCTGTAGACCAGGCTGACCTCAAACTCAAAGAGATCCACCTGCCTCTGCCTCCGAGTGCTGGGATTAAAGGGGTGTGCTACCACTCCCAGCCTAACACTTGAATTATTTTGACAAGGTAATACATGTACATAGTATAACATTCTAAAGATAAAGGGGTGCTATGACAAGGTATACCTCCCATGTCCCTTTCTAGCTCTCTGTTCCCTTTTTCAGAGGTAAGTACTATGATCAGAATCTATGTACATAGACACATGGGTTTTTGTTTGGTTTTTTTTGCTTTTCAAGACAAGTTTCTCTGTGTAGCTTTGGCTGTCCTGGAACTCACTTTGTAAACCCGGCTGGCCTCGAACTCATAGAAATCTACCTGCCTCTGCCTCCGAAGTGCTGGAATTAAAGGCATGCCCTACCACCACCTGGCAGACAAATGTATTTATGTGTTCTTTGCACCTCTCCTTTTGTACACACAAAAATGTAGACTTTATTATATATCATATCCCAGATCTTGACTTTAACATTAATCTTGGAGCTCCCATTGGCTCCCATCTTAGATCATGAGGTCAAAACGTTTGCAGCGACTAGGGATGTAGCTCAGTTGGTAGAGTGCTTGTCTAGCATAATTGAAGCCCTGAGTTCAATTCCTACCATTGCATAAAATGAGTATGCATGTCTTTAATCACAGCACTCCCAAGGTAAAGGTAGGGAAAAAAAAAAGGTTTTGCAGGAAGCTGAAGGAGCTGATGTCGGAAGAGGTTACCTGGGGAACAGGGCTTGCCCCACCCCCAGATCACCTCAGAACTGTGGCTGCTAACTGTACCAGCCCCCAGGATACAGCTGTTGCTTTGCTACCGTGGCTTTCCTCTAGCCACCCTGCCTCTCTGATTCTCTGCCATCAGAACTTGGTTTGGTGTCTCCAGGTCTTCAATAGGTGTAAGACTCGACCTTCAGGGCCCTTCAATTGTTTATTTGGGACCTCATGGGGCTCCCTTTGCTTATCTTGTCTGAGGAGAGTACTGACTCCTCCAAGTACTAATCCCACTGTTGTCTATCCAGGGACTGACCACAGCCCATGAACAGTTCAAGGCCACCCTCCCGGATGCCGACAAGGAGCGTCTGGCCATCCTGGGTATCCACAATGAAGTGTCCAAGATTGTCCAGACCTATCATGTCAACATGGCAGGCACCAACCCCTATACAACCATCACCCCTCAGGAGATCAATGGCAAATGGGACCATGTAAGTTGAAGGGCTGAAGGGCATAGGCCAAGCCGTTGTACATTTCTTAAGGGCAAGTTTTTTGTCTGTATCTCATTGGTTTTCATTTATTAGTGAATAAATTTCTGGTCCAAGTTGAGATTTTCGCTCTTACTGCATTCTGCCTTTACCCTTTCCCTCATTGGGTCCCCCATTTCCTCACCTGGGAGTATGGGACATGTGGCTGGCTTACCACAGAGTCCCGTCATTATGCCCACCCCAGGTACGGCAGCTGGTGCCCCGGAGGGACCAGGCACTAACTGAGGAGCATGCCCGCCAGCAGCACAATGAGAGGCTACGCAAGCAGTTTGGGGCCCAAGCCAATGTCATTGGGCCCTGGATCCAGACCAAGATGGAGGTAAGTCTTGTCATGGGAAGCAAGCTGGGAATGTCTTACCTTTTCCTAGTACCATTCCAGTCAGCCAAGTCACCTGGTTACTAGGAAGGACCATGGAGGGCTGAGGGCTGAGCCCGTGATCATTCAATTTCAGGGAATGCTGATTGTTTGATTGGAGCAAAGTAGGACACTACTAAGGAGCTACCTATGACAGTTCCACAGGAAGAGCAACTGAATGCCTGGGTCAGCTCAGTCCCTCTGGGTTGCCTTGTCTCCATTACTGCTCCCCAAGCAATGGGACTGATCCTTTTTAGAAAGAGAGCCAAGCCTCTTATAACAAGTATAGAATATTTATTTTGTGCAATGTGTGTGTGTGTGATAGAGTGGTCACTGAGCATCTGAAGTGTAGAGTCCATGTCGAGTTCATGTGAGTGTGTACATGTGTACACACACACACACACACACACACACACGTACATGTACCCCCAAGCCTGTACTTGTAAATACTCAATGAAATAGTAATAGGACTGAACTGAATGAACAAAACCCTCTTTCACCAAGAACCATTTATGAATCAGTGGCTGGTAGAAGTATATATTAGCCCTAGGTCATGGGGTTGGGTGACTAGGTAGGGCTTGGACAGTCATCGTAGGAGGCAAAAGAGCAGGAACAAAAATAGCTGTAGGGGAGGCCCACCAGGTGAACTGAGAAATAGGAGGGGTCCTGGCTCAACATGAGCTATATGGGAGATGACTGGGAACAAGGCTCTGGAAGGCATTTAAATGGCAAGCAAAAGAATGAATGCTCAGGTTGGTCCTTGACCCTGCATTCCAACCCTATCCTCAGGGATAGAGGTAAATGTGATTGGTGGAAGATACTTCACCCAGTGCCAAGGCTTAATATAGAACTATAGTATGCAGCTTCCTTACCAAGGAACATCTAATATGGTAAATAACTAATGGGTAACCCATACGGTCAGGGTAACTTTTAATAGGTAAATGCCAACCAACTGGAAGACAGAGAGTGCCACAGCAGCAAAGAAAGAGCGATCATGTGCCTTGTCTATCCCTTTAACACCTCTCACTTGTCACCCTGACATCACCTTGACCACACCCTGATGGGTGTGGTCAGGCACACCTGAAGCCAGCCCTTAGGAGGCGTGATTATGGTGTCTCCCTACAAGCATCCATGCTAAATATCTTCATGCTCAATGTTGCCAGTTCTGACCTCTCTGGGACTGGCATGTTAGCAGAGGTGACCATGGGAGAGTGGGATGGTTTGACATTATCTCCTTTCTGATGGGCAGGAGATTGGAAGGATCTCCATTGAGATGCACGGCACCCTGGAGGACCAGCTCAGCCACCTGCGGCAGTATGAAAAGAGCATTGTCAACTATAAGCCAAAGATTGACATGCTGGAGTGTGACCACCAGCTTATCCAGGAGGCGCTTATCTTTGACAATAAGCACACCAACTACACCATGGAGGTAAATAGGCCGGGTCCTGCTTCTCTGAGAAGCAGCTGGGGGCCCTTGCTGTCCTCCACTTGGGGTAACATCACCCAAGGAATCAGGGTGTAGGAGGAGTTATGCTTACTCTCTCTACCCCCAAAACTCTACACTTTCAATCTGCAGCACTTTCTGGATGCCCCAGAGAACTTGTTACAAGTGTACGTATCTGGTCCCTAGTTCCAGAATTCATTTGTTCTAGGGTGACACTTAATGAATCTCAATTTTAACAAGCACCCCCAGTGATTTTGATGCTAGTGGGCTCACTGGCTTAGGTACCTGCTTTCTAAATGATGTTAGCTATTCATCCCTTCATGGTAGGTTGTGTCCTGAGGTTGGCCTTATGAAACCATTTTCCTCATTGTTCAAATACCATAGAGTATGCCTACACTGGCTGGAGTGTTAGTGTGTGATCACTGAGACCATCATGGTGTATTTAGCTAGTAAAAGACCAGCCAAATTATGTGGTGCTAGCTGTATTGGTTTTTTTTTTTTTTTTTTTTTTTTTTTTTTTTTTTTTTTTT